ATATGTTTTCAAGAATATATTCTATAATAAATATATACCCCATATCATTAATAAATTATTATTTTATTTAAAAAATATTAAATACAATTAAATTTTCCAGGCAAATTTGCCTGGAATACGGTTTAAGGGATAGAATTCTATAATATTTTGCATAATTTTTTTGGAATTTTGTGGTATTCTGTGATAACTTAAGGTGATTTCTGCAGTTAGCTGTTTTTAAGAAAAATTCGCTGTTTTCTGTGATTGCAGTAAATCTTCAGCCCTGCTCTAGTGGTTTTACTTATTTGCACGTATAATACAAACCAAAAAAGGAAATAGAATTTTGTAAATAAACTAAGTATGTAAAGATAGAAGTTTAGGTTTAGGGAGTTAACATTAGCAGCTATAACAATAGATTGTTGCTTGCTATATGTAAAATTTCGTTCTAGACATTTTTGATTAGTGCATTATGATCGATTTAAGCACTAGTTTTTGAGTATTTTTGCTTTTTTCTTCTTTCGCACGTGTTCGGAATTCATGTTGGGCTGATCCGAAACGTCAAATTTTGTGAACTCCGATTGGCTATTTCCTTTTTAGGGGTTTGTATTACTCGCGCAAATAAGTGCTTCCCTGCTCTAGCTCTCCCACAAAAAATTGTTCACCCCTGTAATTTTGACCAATCGAATTTTAGGATCAGGTGTAATGTAAAAATTGAAACAAAACTAGGAAACCACTTTCTGCAGCCTAATTAAAAATGCTCCTCGTGATCTTTTACTAATAGGCGTTAAATTGTTCTAACCCTAACCCTAATTATAATACGGTTTTCTTGGTTTTTATTTTACGCGTAACCTTTTTACTTAGAAAATAAACCACGTTTGTTTTGACACCTGATCTTAAATTTTGATTGGTCAAAATTACTGGGGTGAACAATTTTTTGTGGGAACGCGGAAGCTGAAAATTAGGGGCCTCGATTTAAAAATATATACCCTACCAAAATTCACTTATACATTTTTATTATCAAAACTAACCCTAAATCCTAAGTTAACTATTTAAAAAAAGCTAAAAAATGCACCCCAAAAATTTTTGAAAAATTCAGCCGCGACAATTATTAATAACATAGGAGGAAATTTTTATAGTAAATCGCAACTTTAGTTTCTTACTAGCACTATTAACGAGGTATTAACGAGGTTTTTTGGCGAAGTGCGAAAAGTTGGTAATTTTTCGCACTTCGCCAAAAAACCTCGTTAATAGTGCTAGTAAAGAAACTAAATTTGCGATTTACTATGAAAATTTCCTATCAACGTCCTATATTATTAATAATCCTACACACTAGATCTAGGATATTTTGTCGCAAAAATGTAAGATTTTCACAAAGAAGCTTTACTGGGCCATTTTGTCTTAATGTTAGCAGAAATTAATAGTAATTTGGCAATTTACCATTAAATTTTATCATGTTAACGTGATAAGCTACCACTAACAACCCTGACGATAGCTTACATTCCCACAAAACCACATATCGATATATGATGACTAAATCATTTGTGAGTTTGCTTGTAGAATTGCTAATTTTAAATGAAAGTTTAATGCTTATATATTTCGGATGTTGACAGTTTTTCAGTATATGAAATTAAAAAGATCTTATTAAAACAGTATCAAGCTCTTTTCTATGAATCATAGGAATCATCGGTTACTACAAACGTGGGATTCTTTCGTCAAGCGTGACGTTAGCCCTTGAAGTAACGCCGATCCTTAATACTACAAATGTGACGCTGAACTCTACTATCGTTACTACAAAATTGATGAAGACCAAATTAAAGAAAAACACTATTATTACTAATGAAATCTAAATTTAGAACTAGAAAAACATGACATTTAACATCTAAAGAATGCTTTTAAATGATTTTTTTCATACATAAAATTTACTGTAACATTTCTTGAATATAATCTTTATTCATTAAATGCAGGAAGATTTTATACATTAATGTAGCTATGATATAGATTATGATCCAATATATATATATATATAGTTTGATAGCTCGATCACTGATTAATTATGATAATGTTGGGGAAATTTTGCCTTATAAGACGGGCTAAGGGGAGTGCTAGGCTATAAGCATTCGATTATCTACATGTCTATAAAGTTTTTTTTTTTTAATATTAATGTTCCCTTGAAACAAAAATACTACATACAAATTACTTATACATCACAGACAAATGCTATTCTAAAAAAAAACCTAGTTCCTACACCTAATATCAAAACATCACCGATGATAATGCCATCATTATTGTTCAGATTAACTCTATAAAAATTATTCGTTTTCACTTAGTGGCATGCATTCTTTTTGTAGCAAGATCCATTAAATATTCAAATTCATTGCTTTCTTCACATAAATGTCGGAACACACTATTTTTATTTTGAAGCAAATTGTATGGTGTATCAAATTCTGCCACTTTTCCCCGATCTATTGGATATGAATTCAAGAAAAAGGGTATGAATAATTGTAACAGTTATTTAGATCATAATTGAAATTATAAAATTTCAACTTACCAAGAACCAAAACCTGAAAATACATGATACATAAAGAAAATTTAGATCAAAATAAGTTATAACTATTATTAGATATTAATTTCATTATGACTTACCCTATCGTAGTCTATTATTGTTCTTAGTCTATGAGCAATACATAATAATGTTGCCCAATTAAATTCAGTTCGAATAGTTTTTTGTATTTTAGCATCCGTTTCAACATCAACGCTTGCAGTAGCTAATCAACAAAATTAAATCAATGCACAGTATTAAAAAATTGTAAAATTTGAGATTAACATAGTTTAAACGACAAACCTTCATCCAACACAATAACAGGTGACCTCCTATTAAACCAAAGGGTTAGATTTTATTTTTTAACTTGTGAAATTGATATGATCCTACAACTTTTAACATACCGTAATAATGCCCTTGCTAAACATAGAAGTTGTCTTTGTCCTTGACTAAAATTATCTCCACCCTCTATAACTTTAGCTTGTAGTTTACCATCTAATTGAGAAATGTAATCTTTCAAATGTGCACTTTGAAGAGCTTGCCAAATCTCCACATCGTCGCGTGTTGTGAATGGATCAAGATTAAATAGGACTGTTCCTATAGATTGTAATAAGATATATGTTAATGAATGTGTATTGTATAAATAAATAAGGATATAATATAATCATTACCTTCAAAGAGAGTTGGATCTTGAGGAATGATGGTAAGGCGTGAACGAAGATCATATAACCCCATTTTTGATATATCCATACCGTCCTATAATTGTGTGATAATTAAAAATAGTCCTGCTGCTAATAAAGCAACTAATGATTTTAATGATTTTATTATAAATACCACAATAATAGTACCACCAGCCGCCTCTATTAATCTGAATAAACTTAATGTCAAACTAGACTTTCCAGCTCCTGTTCTTCCAACTATTCCAATTTTTTCTCTTGGTTTTACCACGAATGATACTCCCTATGTAAATAAAATAATTTATTATGACAAACATTTATATAAACATTGCTATAAATCTATACTACACAATTAACAAACCTTCAACACTAGTTCAAGGCCAGTTCTATACCGAGTCGAATAATCTTTATATTCAATTAACCCATTTTGGGGCCACGTGGGTGAAGGACGATAAAGATCTACGACTGAAGGTGCTTCATTAGGTAAATCAATATACTAACAAAAAATTTTTATGTAAATATATTGCATATTTAAAAGTTAAATATTTCACGAAAAAATGATAATTCAAATCTCACCTCTTTTGCTCTTTCCACTGATACAATGTTTGTCTAATTATATTAAAGATAGCAACAGTAATTTAAATAAATTACGTTTGTAAGATAAAAAACGATCGATAAGATAAATTATTATTATACCTCTATTTCACAAAATTGTCGAACCACCCAATTCAAGGCTTGTGTAACACTGAGCGCATAAGATAATGACAAACCAACAAGTCCAGCATCAATATTATTGGAGGTAACGGACGAAATAACGGCCAAAAGTGATGCACTAAAAATAATCAAAGACCCTAAATTTTTAAAAAAAATTACATATGAAATATAGATTATTACACACATTATATAAATGTCACAAAACTAACAGGTCAAACAGAACTTTACCTAAAAATTCTAATCGAATAGCTAACCATCTATTACAAGATAAAGATGGATAATAGGCTTTTTGATTTTCGTCCAATCGAATCTCATTTTCAACAATGAATCTTTTAGATTGTTGATAAGCACGAATAGTAGTTACACCTCCCAAAGTTTCCTGAAAATGGGAATAAATAGGCGATCTTGTTAAAGAATCCAGTCTTTTTAATTCTCTGGAAGTTGATAAATAATACGACTGGATATAATTGTATATGAATACTTGTGTAAAAGGAAAGAATATATAAAAATTAGAATTTAAAAGCATAGTTAAACAAAATTGACAAAAAAGGAAGTAAAATAAAAATATATCCTTACACAGCGGAACAATTATAAAGGTAAACGCAGGTGTGGAAAACGAAATAACAATTATTGTGGCTAAAACAATAAATGTAGTCCTGAAAAATCCAGAAAATATACGTGGAAGAACTTCATCAATAGTGTATTGATCTTTGCTGAATCTATTCAGAATGCGACCCAAAGGTGTTGTATCCTATAAATTCAAAAATTACACACATAATTAGTAATTGTCATAAAATATCAAAATTCGAATATAAAAATTTCGTATTAACTTACAAAAAAGGACATCGGAGACCTGTAATTTGAGTACGTATATATATGATTAATTATAGTAGTAGACCATACATAATGAGATTCTTAATGATGCGTCAAATAATTCATGGATGAAAGATTTAAACATACCTCACAATACTATTTAACATTTTTTCATGCAAAATACGAGCGGCTCTGTAATAAGAGAAAGGTGAATGAATCTATCGATTAAGAATAGGTAACGTGACTCATATGTCAATATAAACTAACCTAATAGCACAAAATACCCAAAGTATTATTGTATGACAAATGGTCAACAGAGAATATGTAAGGCCAATAGCGCAGTATATAGACAAATAAAACAATGCATTGCTGTTGTTAGTATCATTTTGTGAACTCCAATATTTAAGGAATACGTTCATGCCTAATATATATATATATATATGTAATCATTGATTAATATGATAGAAAATAATATAATTATGAAGGAATGTTAAATGGCAAATCACCGATTTGAGCGCCTTGAGAGATCATCAACATGAATATATAAAATGCTACTGCAGAAAACGAGCATGAATTTATATATGTCATATAAACATCCCATGAAACTTTGCCTTTGATAATGTCTTCGCTTAGAATAAGAGTATCCTTTCCATGTTCAACGTCAGCTTTGCTAGCAGTAGTAACAGTAGTAAGAAGAGAAGGTCGTCGACGTAAACTCATAACACTAACCCGTCTTTCTCGTGGACTTCGAGAAATTTCTTCATTTCGGTAGTCAACATTTGCCTCGTCAATTTCGTAAGTTTCTACTAAAGATGGACTTTGTATATCCTCATCATCTTCAGGAGATTGTTGACCATACTCAATAATTAAGTTGTGTAAATCCTGTTTTTGTTTCATTAAACTATCAAAATGTCCTTGTTCAACAATTTTTCCTTCCCGCAACATGATAAGAGAATTCGTGCGAGAAAGAAAATGTATTCCATTAGTAACAAACACCCGAGCTTTTGTCCGAAGAAGTCCAGTTGGACCAATAACATTATCAAATATGTGTTTTCCTATAAAAAATATTTATATTTAATTTTGATTTTGATTGTAATAAGAAGGAATTATTGAACCAAACAGGATAAAACACATAAATATTATCTAGACCTACCAACATGTGCATCAACAGCAGATAAGGGATCATCTAAAGGCAAAATGAAACAAGTTATATATACTTAGCAACAATCTTATACAACATTAAGTTGACATATCAATTCAGGTCGTTACCGAACAAATAGAGATCAGCACGCGCGTAAACTGCACGAGCAAGCGATATTCTAGCCTTTTGTCCACCAGAAAGATTAATTCCCTTTTCACCTATTTCTGTTAAATCTCCACCTGGCAAGATTTCTATATCAGGCTTCAAACTACATGCTTCAATGACCTCTATAAGATTTAAAGCAAATTAATTTCATTTGTAAAAAGAATAGACAGTAATTTGACATACAGCATGGAGGCATGAAAATAAGAACCTTCATAAAATGTGGGATCGTATGGAAGTCCAAAAGTAATGTTATCTCTAAGAGTAGCGTTCATGATCCAAGCTAAAATTACAGAAAACTCAATTAATGATTCAAAAAAAAATAAAATAAAATAAAACATTTTTTTTACCTGATTGTGGCGCATAAGCAGTATACCCACGAACAGTAACCTCACCGGATATTTTTTCCATTTCACCTAAGAGAGCGGATAATAATGAAGATTTACCGGAACCTAAAATATGTTTAATGTTAGGGGTGAATATTTCAAAAAAAATGAATTTTGTAATTTACTGCCATAGCGATGTATCGACTTAATGGTCACGTCGGGGTTCCAACGTTCGCTTATGATTAGTAATATAGATTACTAATCATAAGCAGGGTTTGAATATTGGAACCCTGACATCACACGACGCGACAATTAAGTTTCGGATTTTGACTTTTGGAATTTTGTCGTTCAGAATTTTGACATAAACCCGAGCGATACATCTCTATAGCGGTAAATTACAATGCCTTTCAAAAATTATCGCGAAATAACGCGCATACGCGTTATTTCGCGAAAATACGGTAAGGTTAAAAAAATAATAGTCAAAAAATTGGTAAACTCACCAACTTGACCAACAATAGCTACTAGTTCACCTTTTCTAACGCTAAAATTAATATCTTCTAAAACTGGTGTCGAGGAATTTTGTGACCATTTAAAAGTCCCATTCTTAACAGATATTAATTCAACGCCATCTTTGTCACCATTTTTCGGATGGCTTGAATCTATATATGGCTCGCGAGTTATAGCATTAGGATTCAGTTCTTCGGCACTTAAAAATTTCCTAATTCTGCCAATAGCAACGGCCGCTTCGACAATAGAAGCAATTACAATTGGAAATAATGCAAGTGGAAATTGGAGCAGATTGAATAACGCCAAAGCTACAAATACAACTTCGGCTGTTAACGGTTGATTCGATACCATGACATAGACGGCAAAAGTGGCAAAAGACACCAGGAAGGGCTATTAAATACGTAAATTTGAATATGAATATATAAATAATTTTAACAACAATGAAGATAAAAAAATGAGCTCACCGTAGCAGCCCAAGTAAAACTCTGCACGGAAGCTAAATAACCAAGTTTTTTAAGGGTACTAAGTTCTCTATCATGTCTTACTTCAAAGATCTACCAAATATGAAAAATAACAATAAGAACTGCTAAAATTTGAAGATAAATATCTAAAATATAAAAATTACCCTTTTTAAAAAGGCAGACTCCCAAGCATAAAGTTTGATAACTTTGATGCCATTAAGAATTTCATTCTTGAAACATATACATAAGGAGTTAGTAATAAACACTCTCACTAAATGCATGAATAAAATAATTTTAAGTTTAGATAGCTTGCCATATATTTAATTCTTTCATCTTTATTTGCCATTTGTTGTTTTTGTAATTTTCTCATGATGGAGGCAAAAAAAGCATTTAAAGGTAACATTAATATCATAACAGCGACACCAGCAAATGCGCTCACACCCATGGTTTGATATAAAAAGTACAAAGCAATAATTATTTGTAGAGGACCAGACCATGCGATGTGTAAGTACATGGTCAAATCCACGATTTTTTTGAGTATCAACACTCATATCTGTAGGAGTTCCAAAAAATGATTAACATTTCTTTGCAATAAATAAGTATGCTAAAATAACAATGTACGTACGATTGACAATTTCACCAATTGTTGAACCTTGACGCGCACTATTTGAAAGACGAATGGCTTTTTTGTAAATTATGGTTATCAATCCAGCACGTGTCTAATTTTAAAAAGTAAAATTACAAATAAATATACATTTATTATTAAGATAAATAATTAAAATGCGCGTGAAAAATCCAAATACCCTCATTCCAGACACTGCACATAGATGGAAATACTGATGTAAAAACATAGTTTGAAGAATTGCAGTCAAAAACATCATTGCTGTTTTAAACAAAAAGAATCGGAAAAAAATTTAAATAAGTATTCAAATAAATAAGAATAAATGTAATATTCACCAGCAATAGAGTAACCCCATAACGCAGAAGGTTTGTCCTCATCATCATCTTGTTGGCTTACAAAGATCATAATTTGCTTCAATAATTGAGGTTGCACAAAATTTAACATATCCTGAATAGCTTTGAAGAACTTTATATATTTATATGCATTGGATAAGCATTTTAAATGAGTGCTACATGAAGCTTTTAACCGAAAATAATTAATTTATATTAACAAAACCTACCGCAGCAAAGGCAAATGGTCCACCGAATGAGATAACGAGAGCCTTAAATAGAGAAGGACTAAAATAAAAAAGTTGTAAGATACTAATAGCCTTGCAAGTTACAAATCAAAAAAAAAACAATAGGTGTATTACTTTTTTTTCGATAGTTCTTTTTTCCAGACAGCTTCAAATCCTGTGGAAATCGTTTTTGATCGATCTTCAGAATTTAAATTCCTAAGAAATAAAAATATAAATCAATATGCCGCAATATACGCGTATATATATATATATATATATATATATAAGTCAATAGATATCAAGCAAATTTTCTATAATAGTGTTTTAAAAATAACAAGAATTTGATAAAAAAATTCCTTAAATCAATTATATATACTTATAAAACCAAATTAAAGGTTTTTATCAAACTTGGTTAAGTTTTTGTTAAGTTATTTTTGTTAAAAAACTTTTTTTTTTAAAAAAAAGAAAAAAAAGTTTTTGATTGATTTCTATTGACACACCCCATATTTTTGTCCAAAAAAAAAAGACCAGTACCATAAGTCAGAAAGAACTAAATATTTTTCATGACCCAATTTCATTAGTGGTGTCATCCAATAAAAAGTCAGTCGTGAGAAAATATTGGCATTTTCTTCTGGAGAATCTTTCTGTGAAAATATGAATGGATAATTCAACATTTTTTTTTTTTTTAATAAAGAACAATGATAATATGTAAATAATATTAAAATAATCACAGAATCATCATCAATAAACTCGTATTCGGCTTTTGGTTTAGGAAGTAATTCTAACACAAATACAAACACGGCAAATAATATTGATGCCAAAAAAGTGTAAGATCGCAAAGGAAAGATGTCAAAGTAATCCTCTCTAATCCATGTACGTAATTTGACGATTTCGATGACAATATAGAAAAGCCAATAGAGCAGCAGGACAGAAGATGCAGAGTGACTGTTGGTATAGGCCGCTTTTTGAAGGAATAATGCAAAGATCTATAAATGAACCTTATAAGTTTTTTTTACTATACATAGTTTTATACTTAAGAAAGCCCAATGCTACTTGCCATTGCAACTAAGTTAACGATAGCAGAAATAACAAACAAGTCTAATATTTGCCATTCGCTATCCTTTAGAGTTAACATTAACATTATTCCGCTGAAGATAATGAGAAATGATAGAGCAATCTGAAGAAACCACAAAGATACATTAAACGAGAATGCCGACATGTAAGTGGAACAGTTTGGTAAGAGAATATAGTAAATACCCTCTCTAAAAAATAATGCCAATTTCGTAATCCTTGACTTGGAATAACAGCAAATTTTTTAAGAAGATGATAATATTCGAGAGAACCAAAAGCTAACATCAAAAGGTTTATTGGCATGATGAAGATCCTTTATAAAAATCACAAAAAAATCACAGAGACATCAAGAGTTAACACCACTTGACTAGTTAAAAGATAAAGAAAATTAACAAAAAATGGAATACCCTTCGGTGAAGCATAAAGCAAGATCGGGATCAGTTATATTCGGTCTCCAAGGACCCTAAATTTGATAGAATTAGCATTATTTATTATTGTAAGCATAAAAGAAAGGAATGCTTATAATAATTTACCCAGCCATCCGGATCATGGCAAAGTAAGTGTTCATTAAACATAATGAATTTATTTTATTAGCTATACAGGCTTTGCTAAAGTATATTAAAGAGGTATATTAAAGAGGTAGAGTTAATACAACTAATATAAAAACAGGAGTTTAAGTCTGATACATATGATATTGATATAATGTAAGAAACCTTTGTTTTTTTTACGCCTGATCGTTAATAATTTTAAAATTTTAAACAAAGAGATACTTTATTAACACAATTTTCATTCAACATTCGATCAAAAAATTGTAAGAAACGTTAAAGACAAGCTTTATAACATTAAAGGATAACAGGACGTAAGTAAGAATAACTTCAAGGTATTATTAAGTAACGCGAAAAATTCTCACCTAATAGAAATCAAAACCGTAGGTATTGTGAAGCAAATACTAGACTATTTATTCGAAAATATTTACGCAGTATGCTGATCTTGTTCAAAGATTATGTAATTGGTGGATTAATTAAATCGAGCAAATGGTTTTGTTCAGTGTTGATATTCAAAACACAAATATTGCATTTCGAATTTGTAATACGAACTGATTTTACATCCGGATAATTGTCTAAGTTGACAAATTGAAATACAGTGATAAATGTGGATGTATAAATACCGTCAACTTTTTCTAAATGTGCAAAGCTTGATGTTTAAAATCCTTAAGTGCTGCCTTGTTTCTGCACAACTCTAAAATATTTGAAATACATATTTCACTCTCCAGCGCAGCTTGCTTTTGCAAATTGGGATGTATAGATGTATAAATTATAATATATATACATAAAATCAACTATATATATACGTATATATATATATATTTTGATCAACCAATTTGGTTATATTTTGATTTACAAACACGCTTAGTTAAACCCTCATTCTATATATAGAATGTTAAGTATGTAACATATGTACATGTGCATGCGCGTACATACGCAGTAAGTGTGCACACATAGCCTCAATTCACTGCACGAAATAAAATAGGAAAAAAAATCGGACTTTCAGCATTGCCATGCAAATGGCTGAAGACTGAATTATAGCCGAATTTTTAGCCGACTTTTTTTCCATTTATATATATATATTAATAATTCAAGAAATTCTAGTTACGTATTACAATGAATTTCTATGTATAATTTATCCTTGATAAGTCGAGAATGATCGATTCCTACGTACGTACAAACCTGTAATATCGATATTCATTAAAGCCGAAAATAGATTTGTTGTACGTACTCAAAAAAAATTTCATAAATTGGCTTTTCGAAAATTCATTATATGCCAAAAGTTAGAATTGATTTTTTGCACTTTCCTGAAGTATTAAATACCAGTTACTTGGCTAGTTTTGAGATAGTACAAATATTAGCACTAGTATCTATATAGTCGAGGCGAAAGGTTTCGTCATATTACATATTTGGCAAACTTCAAACAATTAATGAAATTATTTATTTTTAAATTTTTTGAAGTTCCTAAAATTTCATTTTCGATATATTGATTTATACTATTTAAACTATTATTATGATTCTTATAATTCTATTTTTGTTAAATTCTCTCAATTTGCGAAATCAAATCCAAATGTAGCATCATATGACCATTATTCAATAAGTCCAATATCTAATTATAATCTCTTAATGAAAAATTATTATAATCTCTCAATGAGAAATTACTTTATTGTTATAATTTCTTCGAGAAATAAAATAACTAGATACGTATTAGTCTGTAATTGTCTCCAACCCGGGCTACCCACCCGCGGGTACCCTAGTGATCGACAGGATAGAGATACGGCAAATATTTATTTGGGTAATGACAGTATCAGGGCTCAATCCGGAATTATATTTTTAAGATAATCTAATTAACATTGATAATCGGTATTGATTTGAGTCTTTGTAGTTAGAATTAGGTTTAGTATTATACGTAAAAATACATCCTCAACATTTTTTGTTAGTATATTAAGATAGATTTAAACTGCTGTTTTCTATATTTTTTTTCATTTTTCGTTTCTTGTTTTGTTATCCGAAATGATCAAACTGATCTTTGCAATCCGCGTAATTATGTAACTTTGCATAATACAGGTTATTTCTAGAAATTTGAATAACTTACTCTTAAAAATTTATGATAAAATTGCATGTTATCTATGTAGAACCTTAATAATTATTTTGCAAATCAAAATTGAAAGTAAATTCAATTGAGGGCACAGTAACACTAACCATCTGTGTTTGACAACCATATCTATAATCTATATCTATTATTAAAAAAATTGGAATATGCACGGTAGACGGACATTGCATATTAGTGTAAAATTCGTGCAGATATCGTTTACCATATAGCAGAGGGAGGGGGGTTTAGTACGATTCTAACATTTTTCATATATAGTCTCCATTTTCGTGTAACAGGGCGGCACCTAAAAGTTTCGTGAAGTAGCTTATAGCGCAGCAGTCAGGGTTAATAGTATATATGTTATATATTGCAGTATTGGATTATTTAAAAAGTATTGGATTACAATCACTATTTAAAAAACAGATCATGCTAGCAAGTTGCTAATACAGTCAAACCTGTCTAAATGAATACTGTATAAATGAATATCCTGTATAAATGAATACAAAATTTCAGAACCA